TTTTTTAAATTTTTTTTTCATACAATTTTTTTTCCAAAACAAAATTATTTATTTGAAAACCTTATTTTCCAAGAAAAAATTTTGTTAGAAAAATTAATCCTAATTATTTATAGTAGTGACACAGTTGTAATTTTTCCAGCGCAATTTTGAAGCAAAATATATATTATTTTTATATTTATTATATATTCATATACATATGTATATTTGTGCACACATGTACGTTTATGGTGCTGAATTATTTTCAGATGCTGTGCGTCTCACTGCTGGCTGCCAGGCGTTACTTCCGCAGAACTACTTTATTTTTCATTCAAAAAAAACTATTTTACAAAAAAAATGTTTGCTGCAAAAAAAAAATAATATTTTTTACAATATACTATTTACACAATACTGCATATATTTTCTTCTTTCTAATATGTCCTTAATTTTCCTTTTTCTTTACAGACCGATAAATTTCAATCCAACTTCACTACTAAGGAAATTCCATCGACTATTTTTTTACAATTCGTAAATAAATAGTTCCAGCATCGCATAACGGAAAGTTTGAAAAAACACCGCAAACCAAAACCAACGATTTTTTAAGTGATTCATTTCACTTCTCAATTTTCTTTATTTAATTTTATTCGTCTCGATTCAAGCGAGAGAAAAGCCAACAAAAAACCGAACTCATAGAATGGTAGAAGGTGATTCGATTAAGAATAAAAGTGATTGTAAGTATGCATGTATATGGAAAGGTTATGAAATTTGTAATTTCGAAAATGTAACTTGCACGTGCTTTAATTCAGTAGCTATTGTCGTGCAAAAAGCTTATTTCGAAAACGTTTAGCTTAATTATAAACGCGCTCGCGCTCGGCAGACAGTTAAGAAACCGCAAGCTGCTATACGCGCGCTCAAATTCGAATTGGTATGTGTATATATATAAAATATATGTATATATCGGGCGGCACATATTTTCGGAAAATTACAAAACTTTCACACCTCGAAAAGTCATAATTTTGCCGCAATCGTAAAATTTTTGTATTCAAAACCGCCAAAAACGAAATATGTGAATAATATGGAAACTGCTTACGTCGGTTTGGGTGTGATAGTGGTGAAGCGCGATTTTAAAGTTAATGAAAACAATCAATATTAAGCAATTATATTGTATATACATATTTATATGCTTGTCTGCGCTTTACATATGTATGTATGTATATGCACATGTATATTCCCGACCTACAATTTCTAAGTGTGCAATGTTTTTAATCATGTATTAATCAAGACTATCTAATTGAATCCGGCATCAAGGCTAGCTATACGCCAGTAGTAAAAATTACCACTGATTAACAAGTGTGTACATACATACTTACATACATACATACATGCATACACATATGCGAATGTACAGCTTTATAAAAGTTTCGCTTTTAAATGATTAATTTGCTGCCTGACAACACATTTTTGTTGTAATTTCTTTAAAAAAACAGGCTGTGAATCATTTTGTTTTTAGCGCCAAACTTAATATAGCCTGTTCAGGGTATAAAAGTTATTTTATTATCACAAGATTTTTTTGAAACACATTTTTTCAATTAAAAATAATGAAAATGGTAAAGTTTTTTGCACCAATTAGCTGTTTTTATTACAAAAATTATTCATCAAAAAGATTTACATAATATATATTGGGTAGTCGAAAAAGTAGTTTCGTATTTCTAATCAAACTTCGACTTATTTTTTTATATTCATAATGAACTTTAATGAAGCGAATATGTATTGGAATACGAAAAAAACTTTTTCGACTACCCATATTTTCCTTAACCACTTCATCTCAATATATATTTTCTCTCTCCCTCTTCACGCGCTTTCAGCCTATAATGTAGAGGCTGGCATCCAACCAAACTACAATAGCAGCAGAAACAACTCGATCGACAATCGTTCCATTCTACAGCCCTATTCATTGGGCAGTGGCGGCAAGGATCCCGAATACCAATTTGCAGCAGTCAACAAGGGTTACGAGACGGACATAAGCAGCGCTGGCGGTGACAAGCATGACGTAGAAAAGGGTAGCGCGGCCGTCATTGAGGTCACCAACGGCGTCGCCATACATGGCGGTAACGGCGGCGGCAGCAATGGCGGAGGCTCTGGCGCCGATGGTCGTCGCTCCACTGGCATACGGGCCGGTTTCGAGCAGGCCATCGAACTATGCGGCTATGGCAAATTCCACTATATCCTACTGGCCATTTGCGGTCTGGTGAGCACCAGCGAGGAAATGGACGTCATATCGATGTCGTTCATACTACCATCGGCAGAATGTGATTTGGATTTGAATACGAGCTCCAAGGGTTGGCTCAATTCGATCATTTTCATTGGCATGATGGTGGGCGCCTACTTCTGGGGCAGTATCGCCGATGCGGTGGGACGTAAGAAGGTGCTCATTGTGATCTCCTTCATGAATGGCTTTTGTATTGTTGCATCGTCATTTTCGCAAACCTACGAATGGTTTATGTTGTTTCGCTTTCTCAACGGCGCGGCGTAAGTACACAAACGCAAATATCTTATACATAAAATATAAAATTTAACTATATAGTATACTATATATAATATACAAACATTTACACATTTGTGTGCATAAAAACAACCCACACGAACTCATCAATCCATCGGCAGCCTCTTCATCAACAACACACATTAAACCCACGAAAATGAATCATTGACTTTGAAGCGACTTTGCGCTAATTAAATTAAGGGGTTGTAATAACCACTTGAAACTCAGACAAATAGCGTTTATCGTGAAAGAAATCAATCAACAAATTTAATATATATTAGTAGTAGAAAAAGTATTTTCGTATTTTGTCAATAAATGTCGTTGCAGTCGTATATCTTCAATCACATTGCGTCATACCATAGAGCGTCGGAAAGGTGAGACTTTAAGCTTCATTTCATTTGATTAGAAATACGAAAGAACTTTTTCGACTACCCAATATAATGAAAAAGAAGATTTAGTGAATTTAATGTTTTTTTCATTCATCATTTTTAAAAAATTTTGGATTCCCTTTGTTTCTTAAATCCCATATCAGTTTCAAGTTTTCGAACAATATCAACGATGTAACCCCATAGATGCTTCTTAATGCGCCAATTGAGTGTAGGAGTTTAAGCTGTGCGGGCAATCGCGTCCAAATCGCCGGCACCGCACCTACTTTGCCCTCTGATGAGGCACGCGCATGCACACACATTGTGTTGGAATTGCTAATATGTATATATACATATATATATTTATATGTATGTATATACATGTACATATACATATTTACGTGTGTGTGTGTATTTTCGCACATTATGAATTTTTAATTTTGTTTTGTAATTTCCAACGTATTCGCGAGGTGGTAATGTGCCATACAACACATACACACCCACTTACCACAAGTGTGTTATTTGTTTATTTACACAGAGGGGAAACATTTTAAAGCGCTCAATGGGAAATTAACTCGTAAACAACATTTCGAAATCATCATCAAATCGACGGTTTTATAATGTGCATTGTGCGCGAACGTACAAATCGCAATAACAACGTGAGAATATTTATAAACACACACACAGGCGTACATTTCTGGCCGTTCAAGCGCTTATTAATATTTATGGCGGCAATTACTTATACAAATTAAATATAGAAAATATTTGAAAGTAAATTTATTCCTGTCAACTTGCGTGTGAGCAAAATGTATTTCGATTTTTTGCGCTCTTTTGTTCGTTCACTGTGTGTGTGTGAAGAATGTTGCTCATACGCCATGTCGCCGGCGCAGTTCGTTGCTTCGACAATCACAGTGGCTGTTGCGTATGGAGCGTGCGCCAACATGTAAATCACACGGCTTAAACGCTTTGAAATGATAATTTTTAAATTTTTAAAATTCGGTGAGTAAAGCAACAACAAGAAGTGAATGATGCTGCAAATCGACAGTTTTTTAGGCAGCGCTGTGTGCAAACTGCCACAGTGTCATTAACGGTAGTTTTTGAATTGCAAAATTTTGATTTAAAAGCTGCCAAGCGGAATATGAACGTACATTTTTTTTTTAATTTTCTTTTGTTTCGAAATTTCTTGATAGTGGTTCGTCGTTTTTGGCGTGTTTTCGGCAGTATTAAAAAACTATTCCACATTCGTGAATGAATGTTCTTGCAGCAACTAAAGCATAAATTATTAGAAATTCCACGTCATTGCTCATGTTTTTTCAAATTATCATGAGCGTTTGCACCTCTTCTACAAACATTCTCACCATCACCATCACCTAATGTTTTGTCACCTTCCCTAAATGTTTGAGTTGCTCATTATTACCTGCCTCTTTCCACTTTGCAGTCTCGGCGGCAGCGGTCCGGTCATTTGGTCGTACTTCGCCGAATTCCAGCCGAAATCGAAACGTGGCTCCATGTTGAGTTTCATGGCTGCCTTCTGGACTTTTGGTAATCTCTTTGTTGCCGGACTGGCGTGGTTGATCATCCCCAGCAGCATCGGCTTCAAAACAGATTTAATTACATACAATTCCTGGCGTATCTTCTTGATGGTGTGCGCCCTGCCATCATTCGTTGTCGCTTTCCTACTCTTTTATCTGCCGGAATCGCCGAAATTCTTACTGACCAAGGGTAAACAAGAAAAGGCGATGGCCATCTTCCGTGGCATCTTCGTGACGAACACCCGCCGACCGGCCGAACAATATCCCGTTGCCGAATTGGACATCGATGAGAAATTGTTGGCTGAAATTAAGGAAAATCAGGCTGGCGTCAAGGGCAAGTACAGTAAAATGATGTCGAGCATGGCCGAGCACAGTAAACAGCTGTTCACCTCTCCCATACTGAAGTTCACACTCGTCTCGATCATCATCAACTTCACCTTCCATATTGGCTACTACGGTCTGATGATGTGGTTCCCCGAGCTATTCAATCGCTTCGAGGAATACAGTCGCGATCATCCCAACGAACATGCTGGCGTCTGCACAGTTACCAAATATGTCGTGTCCCAAGGCGAAACAGAAACGGGCACCTGTTCAGCGCATATACCGCAGAGCGTTTTCCAGGAGTCGTTGATTTCACTGGCTTCGGCGCTGCCAGCCAATTTGATTGCTATTTTGGGCATGGATTTGTTGGGTCGCAAATTTTTCCTTATCTTCGGCACCATGACGGCTGGTGTGTGCTCGGCTGCCATGAACTTCGTCTTCAACTCTACACAGAATTTGATCGTGACAGCTATATTTAGTGGTGCCATATCGGCTGCCAATGCGGCCTTGGACTGTCTCATCACCGAGGTGTTCCCGACACATTTGCGCGCCACCGGTGTGGCTATATCGATGGTGGCGGCGCGTATGGGTGGCATCATTGGTAACATTGTGATTGCGACACTTCTGGATCACTATTGCCCAGCTCCGACGTATATTGTGGCCACCCTGCTGATAGGTGGCGGTCTCATGTGTTTGATGTTGCCCAACACAACTCGTAAAGAATTGAACTAATCCATCAAATGGGTATTAGATAATAAGAGGAAGAAGGAAGGAAAAACTAAGAGATGGGAAAAGGAAGAGACAGGGAGTAGACACAAACGAGTTTGGTAAAAATACTCGGAACTAACGAATTTCTTGAATGAATCTAGTTGAGTTGGGAACAAATGCATGTACACATAGAAAAACAAAAACAAAAGTAAAAAACCAACCATACATCTAAGTACTAATATAAAATCGCTTAGGAACTTGTTGTAAATTTTCTAGCCATGTAATATATGTAACTACCGATTAATATAAAAGTAAAAAGTAAACAAATTTACATAAATATGTATGTATACACGTAATTACCAAAAAGTGAATTAATAGTTTCAAAGTAAAAGGTTATAAAAATGTAATTTCATATTTTAAATAAAACGTTTTAATTAAGACGAAAAAGTAGTACTTGAATTTGTGTATTAATTCATTGGCATTTTTTTTTTTAATTTTCTTAAAAGCTCCTGTTTTTCCTACACTCTCAGAATATCCTTAATACTTTATAAAGCTCATAAATACGCATAATATGGCAACACTGTACTTAAATGTTGTAAAATAAAAAATCAATTCAATAATTTACTATATAATAAATAATTTTTTAATGCTTGATTTTTTCATAATTGGCAACCTATTATAAAAAACTAACAGAGAAAATATGTTTCTTAACATTTATAATTTACAACTTAAATTTTATTTATTCAGGAAGAATGATGGCAACCCTGTCACTAAATATTGAAGGATTAGTGATGTGGCAATTAGCTTTCGTTTGATACCCGTATTGCAATTTTTATATTTCACATAAAAAGTCATATGGTAACTCTGTTTCAGAAAAGATGAAGTAAAATACAAATAAAAATAGTGGAAACAGCAATTATTTTCAATTTTTTTATTTAGAACTTAAACTTTATTTTACAGGCAGAATGATGGCAACCGTGTATCAAAAATAATTTAGAACGAATGATATGGCAATTAGCTTTCGTTTGATACCCATATTGTAATTTTTATATTTCACATAAAAAAATCATATGGTAACTGTGCTTCAGAAAAGTATGAAGTACAATACATAAAACAGGGATTATAAAAAATAATAGAAACTGCATTTATTTTAAATTTTTTTTATTTAAAACTTAAACTT